GGGGGGAGTGGGTCTTAATAAAATGACTTTTGATGATGAATACGTAGGATGGTGTCTATTGTTTTAATGTGGTGGTGGATAATTGTATAATATTACGTTTTGTTAGATGACAATACTTTAGTTGCGGTATAGTTCAGTATAAAAATAAGGTCGGATCAGGATTGGACATTAAGAGACACAGCTGATATTGTTCTGTTATTAGCCAATGCTCTGTAAGGAGCAATTTAATTAAATTCCTTGAATTTCAACGTGCATTATCTGCAGTAAATGGCGTAAAACAACATTGGTTTGAACACATGCATCCACATCAGCAACTTTATAATGAATTTTCAAGTACTACGACTAGTTTGCATAACGATTGTAGAAGAGATGTGTGGACATGAAGATGGAGTAACTATATTTGATTCTTTGTCTGTGTTTTTCGTTTATAGGTAGCATTGCAAAATGCTCAAAAAGCATGGAATCTAATTTTAAAAAATGGTCCAGATGCAGTTGAAAATGAGATATCAGACATGCATAGTAAATTTAAAGGAAACAAGTCATTATCTTCACCTTTGGATATATTGTGGGCGAATAAAAATAATTCTTCTCCACTTACATTAACTGCTGCTCCACCAGTATTTACTTCTGAACTAGTTAAAGCATCTGCATCAGCATTATCGGTCGAGTCTTCAACACCTTTAATATCATGTACCGGGTCAAATACACAAAGTACAATTCATAGAGGTAAATTTTCAAATCTTCCATCAAATTTTAATTAAACACGAATGTCTTTCGTTTTAGAAGGTTTCAAGCAGCAAAGTGTTCAAAATGAATTGAACACAGTTAATGAACAAATAACATCATTAACCAGTTTAAAATCAACAGTTTTTTGGAGATCTGATAATTGTAAAGAATTAAATGGTTTAATGAAATCTCGATCTAAATTAAAATGCTCAATAAATCGTTTGAAAACGAATCAAGCAGCTCAATGCAGAATGAGAAAAAATCGTCGTTTGCGTATGACTCGTCTACTTGATAATCATCCTGAAATAGCTGAAGAAATTACATCAATCATTCGTCATACATCAGGCAAACCTAGTTTAGAAGAATCTCAGTGCGGTTTACTAGGTAAGAACAGTAAGATGATAATTTGATGAAATCAAAAGGCTATTTTTTCGTTTTAGGTGCTATTATGGATATCGCTAATTCTGTTGTAGTTGCTGCGGACAGTCGCCGTCGCACTGATGCTATTCAATCATGTTTAACATTAGATTCATTGAAAGAACAGTTCAATGTCAGAGGATATCAACTAAGTCGAACATCGACGTACTATCGGTCAGAGACTGGATACTGAGTACAATTACTCAGTATTTTCGTACTTTTTACTCAAAAATCGTAAGTACAAAGTATACTTTAGAAGTACAAGTAAATTTACTTGTACTTCTCGAATGTACTTAAGTACCAATACTTAGTACAAATTTACTTAAGTACAAGTACCAAGTACTGATGTATCGATGATCATATAAATGTTTCAAATGTACTTGGTAATTTTACTTAAGTACATTTGTACTTAAGTAATTGTACTTGAGTAAAAGCTCAAAGTACACTTAGTAAGTAACAAGTATTTTCACTTGTACTTGCTGTACTTGTACTTGTCCAGTCTCTGCTAACGGTACTGATTTAATGTTTTCTTTGTCGATTTTATATACTTTTTTCACAAATATGATTTATTTAGTTTATTACCGAAGAATTCACGAACTATTGATGGTTAACGACACGTGCACACGGTACCAGTTCGAATTCGGCGCCCTGGAAACAGTTTACACAAGCATCACGATGATACAAAATTTGCTCAATCAACTATTCGTGATCTAAAGTATATTGCATATACATTAGGAAATGAAGTGGTATTTTATTTAAGTCAAGATGACAAATGCCGTATTCCATTGGGAATATCTGCTGCACACAAACAAGCACCTTTTATCATGAGTATGAAAATACAAATAAAACTTCCTGATCATGATTTTGTAATAGCTACAAAGCACAAATTAATACCAAGTGGTGAGTATCCATAGTTCTTACCTATTTCAGTATTCAATAATCTTTCATTTTTTTAGTATATGGTGCCTGTATAATCAATGATGAACGTGTATCATATAGTGGCCCAACGTTTGCAGCAATTCGATCTGGTAAACATGATCATAGTAGTGCTATGGCACATGCAAATGATTTCGACACACTCGTACAATTACCTAAATTTGAAATAGTTACTTTATCGAATGGAACAGTAAAACCAGTTGTCATTTTATCTGTTGACGGTGGTCCAGATGAAAATCCGAGATATCCGAAGACTATCGAAGCAGCGACAACAATTTTTAAAAAAATGTAATCTCGATGCTTTATTTGTTGCTACAAATGCACCTGGTCGATCAGCGTTTAATGAAGTAGAAAGAAGAATGGTTCCATTATCTCATGAATTGTCTGGCAAAGCATTTTTGATACTTACGATATTTTTGTTGTTTATGAAACATAATTTTAGGCTTGATTCTGCCATATGATTATTACGGCAATCATTTAGATGACTCTGGTAAAACAATTGATGATGCATTATAAGTTCGAAATTTTCAACGAACTGGTATTTCGTTTTTTAACAAAAGAAAAAGATAAATACAATTCTTTTTTTTAGGAGAAGCATTATCACGAATTTGGTCTCAGCTGAAAATTGATAGTCATCCGGTTGTATCTCGATACATTAAACCATTAATTGATAACCCGACAGGTGTAAATGAACCTGGAGATTTATTGTAATCTTCAGAACATATTCACCAGAGTCAATATTTATTACAAGTTGTTCGTTGTAATAAGAAAAAGTGTTCCAAACCGTGGCGGTCGTATTATTTTCAAATACTGAATCAACGTTTTGTCCCAGCACCTGTTGCCTATCAAGTATCAAAATTAGGTCGAGTTCCATCACGGTTCGACGAAAATAATTCGAATTTTTTAAATTTATTTGAACGTCTACATTTACAAAATTGTTTTAAACACAAGTTAATGCTGAACTTTTTACCATTTGATCGTTATTGTTTATCATTACAACAGAATATTCAACCACCATTGTGTGCCATATGTGGTTCATATTTTTCATCAATAGCATCAATCAAGAGACATAAAATTTTGCATTCCAATCGATGCAAAAAGAAAGAAATGCTCATTAGTTATAATGATGATGATGATCCAGACAAAACTGAATTGACAATGAATTCGAATGATCATTATCAACAAGAACAAGTAGATAATAATTCAGCACCTATTATAATGAATATATTTGACTTTTTTAAATCAGATTTTGAACAAGTTAAAGAAAATGAAGGTCAGTATCCATGTAATTAGTTTAATATTAATTGATTAGTTTTTCGTGTTACATTTATTGTGATATCTATTTTATGTATTCTTGTACATTCCTTTTCTTAATTAATTTTCATTTTGAATTTTAACCTACAGTGTACCTTGACAAATCTATTGATTATTGCTTTCTCTTGGTAAAACTATGCTCCATAAACAAAAGAATTAAATTAAGAACAATTTAGACATTAATCTCATCTTACTTAATAGCGAACAAACCCTACCAGAAATCCTGGTGAATACTATGCACACCATCAAAAACTAATTCTGATGATATCATGAGGGGACGGAGCGGTCTGGAAAAACCGACAACTGATGATATACCGAGGTTCAGGGTCAAAAACTGAAGAAAATCTGACGACGCAACATGTGCACAGCCCCAAACAATGTGACGGTGGACACCCCGGAGATGATCACAATGGCGGCGAACCAATAGGAACAAAACAAGCTGAAGGTACACAGCCTAAAAACAATCAAAAGGGTGGAGCAATCAAAGCACCCACACAAAGTGCGGGTGGACAGCCCGGAGATGACCAGGAGGAACGTGCATCAAAAGAATACAAACCACATGAAACTACAAAGAAGTCTGAAACCAGTGACAATGGTAAAAAAAGTGAATTGACAAAGCAAGGCACACTCGATGGAGATCCCACCGAAACAGTTCGGCAAGGTCCCGTAATCACTGGAGCAGCTACCCATGGTGACGATAAAACGAAGTTTGGCACCACCGACAGTCGTAAAATGGGTGAATCAACAAAAGCAGGTGCAGCAGGAGGACGTAACACTGGAGCAGCCACATATCCGGGAGGCATCACACTAGGGACGGCAGGTGTTGGGTTCACCACCACAGCAGCCGCACAACCTCGACAGACATGGGACTTGGGATCGCAGGAAAGTGGCGAGAGAGTTCTGACGACGAAAGCTGGTGCACAAGGTGGACGTAACACTGGAGCAGCCACACATCCGGGAGGCATCACAGTAGGGACGGCAGGTGTTGGGTTCACCACCACATCAGCCGCACAACCTCGACAGACATGGGACTTGGGATCGAAGGAAAGTGCTGAGATAGTTCTGACGACGAAAGCTGGTGCACAAGGTGG